ATCTTTGCAAAGTACTTTGTAAGTTTTACTTGTTCTGAAAAGAGGCAGGAATGAATCTGGGACAGTTTTCTCTTGTTACCTAAAAAATGAATTGATGTTTTGCTGTTGGATTGCAGTCTCATGCACACTTGCACACAGAAAAAAAGGATAGCAAATTACAAAGCAATTCAAGAGGAAACCTCATTTTGCCAACATTTTTAATTAGGTCGATAACTGAATTTTAAAAATTTTTTATTGGTGCAATATAATTAAGCATTAGTGGGATTTGTTGTTATGCATTCATACATTTATAAAACGTAAATTGGTCATTTTAATTCCCTAGTACCCTTTCTCCTCCCCTCCCTTCTAGTAACTGAATTTAAAAATGAATGATAAGGAGCAGTAGTTGTAGCTTAGCCTCAGAGCCAGAGCACTTGATTAGCATGTGTGAGGCACTAGGTTTGATCCTCAGCACCACATTATGTATAAAAGACTAATTACTTTAAAAATATGAATGACAAATGTAGGATAGTACTGCCTAATAAATCAAACATTTTCTTCTTTAAAAGTCAGTGTCTTTGCCCAGTATAGTGGTGCATGCCTATGATCCTAGTGACTCCAGAGGCTGAGGCAAAGGGATTACAAGTTTGAAACCTGCCTCTGCAATTTCATCCCTACCCATCCTTTGCAATGTTAGTTTCTTAAATACCGGTGAATGCTCTAAAAAATATTTGCCAAATTTAATAATCACATGTAATTATGTAGCTTTTTTGGTAGATTTTAGTACAGGGAAACCAACATAAACTTGACCACTGAGCCACATAGTCCTTTTTTATTTTTTTTTTAATATACACACATTTTTAGTTGTAGTTGGACACAACACCTTTTTTAAAATTTGTTTTTATGTGGTGCTGAAGATCAAACCCAGAGCCTTGCACGTGCTAGGCGAGCACTCTACTACTGAGCCACATTACCAACTTTTTTTGTATTTTATAAATGAGACAGGTCTCACTGAGTTGCGGAGAGCCTCACTAAATTGCTCAGGCTGGCTTTGAACTTGCAATCCTCCTCCCTCAGCCTCCCGAGCCATTGGGATTATAGACATGCACTACTGGGCCTGGCTATTTAATCTAGTTTTCTAATTAATAATTTAAACGATCAGTTCTGAGTGTCCTGAACTTTTTGCTGCCTTGTGTAGTGAAACAGATATTTTGATTACCAGTTATTAAACAACTTCCTGGTTTTGTTGTCCCAGGTAACATTCTATATTTGAGAAATTAGAATAACAAATTAGGGCAACACAGCTTGAAGCTCATTTTAGTAGTCATTGGTTTCATTCCCCAGAATATTGCTTTTTGCCCTATGTACGTCTCTTGAATAATGGCCACAGTGAACTATGGTGTACCTGAAATCAGCGGAAAGGCCTGGAATTTCCAGAGGATATAATGTTTTCCTGTATCGCTGCTCCACACCTACCTTTCCCAAATTGACTTCAATCAACTCAATGATGCTGTATGAAATGAAATTGCTTTCCAGATAAAAGAGAAACAACTTGGGAAGGGCCTTGGCCAGCATTGACCACTTTTTTAGAAAACTTGATAAAAGGTTGATACTGGCATGAGGGAAGGATGGATGTGCCATGACTTCCAAGTGCCAACAGTCCTTTGAGGTATGGTCAGTTCATGAAGTGGTCATACTGTAGGGGCCTTTCAGTCCATCTTAATTTTGGTCTTTGCCTATATGCATAGGTAAAGTTATTTGAAAGTCAAAACAAACGCAAAATAGTAGAGAAATTAATGTTTCTAGTTTCTCATTTACTTTTAGGCTCCCTCTTATTTTATTGGGCTAACTGGGCCATAGGGCACTTTGTTTCTTCCCACCTGGTGCCTTCTTTGCTGACAGAAAGAGATTCATGTGTAATATTAATATTGTTAAATAATTGTGACTGCCAGCTATTATTTCTTTCAGGTAAAATACTTAAATGGAGCCTTGGGGATGTAATAACTGAAGACCAAGGGTTGATTATTGCAGGCTTTTGCACAAGTGAGCATTTTACTGCCATTCCTCACACCAGAACTGACCCTGCCCAGCTTAATGCCAATGTTGAGAAGCACACCAAGTAAATCTTATATAAACTACTAATTATAAATATGGCCTCCCTTGGAACACAGGAAGCAAGCATTTCTTGAAGCCTATGAATGAAAGGAGGCTTTCCAAATGAATCCATTCACACAATGTACTAGATCACATTACATCTTGTGAACTGAGCTGTAAGAGTAATGTGAACACATTCCAAAGGAAATGGGAGAAATAAAGAATTTGCCTATTCAGTCATATACTTCTAGAACTTATATATTTTTATTGGAGACTAGATTCTTAATAGATCACGTTTGTGTTAATGTTTAGTTGGGTTGTGATCATTTTTCATAAACTTCCATTTTGTTTTGACAACTAGAATTTATCATTAAGCATTTTCAATAAGATTTTGTCTCCCTTTATACATTTCTCCTCTTAAAGTAAGTGGAAAATGTTTTATTAGTTCTTGCAGTTTTCTAGGATTAAAAATTGCTTTGTGATTTTTAGGGTGATCTTTTGAAAATGTAAGTCAGACATTTTATGCAGTGTTAAGGGCCTCAGAAATGAGTTGGAGTGAGAAAAGAGAGTTTGTGCTCCCACTAGAAATAGAGATGAAGTTTTGCTTTGCAGATAGTTGGTATGTTAGTACAAATCTTCTAATTTCTAAAATTAGTTTTCTTTATCAACTCTCAACAGTGGTGCTTTGTTAAACTTTTGGTTACAGTAATAGTTCTCCAGTCTTTAAAGGATTTTTGTCACGGCAAACCAAAAGTGCTTTACATGGTTATGGGACAAGGTTGTTGTAACAAGTTAAACTGTTCTCCTGTATTGGTTGTTTGTAAGTTAGTGAGTCTATTTGTGTACACTCCAGTCCCTTGTACTTAGAAAAGGTTAGGTGTTCTCTAGCTATGTTGGGCTCCCAGAGCATGGAATATCATGTTAAAGATTCTTTCTTATGGGAAGAATTTGTACAGTATTTAATAAGTACTGTTATTCTCTTAGAATTAATGTACTAAGGTTTTCTCTTAGTTAATGAAAAATATTTTTGTATTCTGCATACTCCATGCTTTTCAAATAGGCTGGTCTGTGCTGCGCTTGGTTTTCATGACTTTTCCTCCATTTATTACTTGAGGATGTTATAGACTGCATAGTTTGGTGTGTTAACTTAATTATAGCTTGCATATATCATAAAAATACATGTGATTCACATCAATACTAAATCAAAACACTGTTAGGTCTCATTCTTTGTGTGCATCTTACACTCCTTGCAATGGGCTGAGCATGGCTTTCACTACCATCTGCAGTGTGAAGCAAGTAGACTTAATGCTGTACTTAAGTGATTTTAACAACTGTGGGCTTAGCAAGAGAGTTCCTCGGCTGTATCTTAAGATTAGCTTTGAGTATGAGAGTGTGGTTTGTAGCATCTGGGAAATGGAGTTACAGAAATGTGAGGAAAGGAGGGGTGCTACTGTGGTCAGCTATTCTGTTTTGGAGTGAACAAGGCGTCTAGAAAATTTGCCTTCAAGTCTGTATTAACTCTTTGTTATTTTTAAACTGTATTCCCTCTAACCTTCTGAGAAGCACATATTCAAAGATAGGCATATTTGGTAATAAGCCTGGTGTAGGGGGAAGTAATAATGATATTTTTCAGAAATTATGTAAATTGTTTTACAGTTAGCTAGATCCATCCTTTCCTGCCTTTTTTTAAACAGATGGAGAAACTGAGTCCTGAAAGGTTGTGATATCATTGAAATTACACAAGGAACTAAAGTAGACTGTGCATTTTAAAGGAGGCCAAGTTGAGGAAGGCACTCTCTCAAAGAGCAATGCTTCTGCTCAGTTTTGTGAGTACTTTCTGATTATATCATTCATGGCTTTTTTTTTAAGAAAAAAAATATTAAACTTGTATTGAAATACATGTGTTGGCTTTTAAGGTGGAGGCTTGTAGCAGCATTAAGAGTAACCAGCCAATTTCAGATTTTAGGGGGCGAGATTTAGTTATAAATTGGTTTGAACTTTCTATGAAATCACAGCTTAGAGAGAACTGCTGTGAACTACTTTTCATTGACTAGTTAATGACTAGTTAAATGAAGGATGCTTCTGTAAGGTAGACCTCGAGTTGTCCCAATTCTCTGTGCTTCATCCTTCTCTGGTGCTTCTAATGCTGGGGCTGTCTTTTAGCTGCCTGCTTCTTCACTGCTTCCTTTCTCATGCCTCTCTGTCACCAACTACCTGGGCTCTTGGAGGGTTCATCCTCAGAGATATGTGAAAGACCCCTCCAAGCAGCTCCTTTCTAACCCTCATTCCTGGAAAGTCACAATCAACACATCACTTTGCTAGAAAGCTCCTCTTGGGCCTCTGATCTCGGGGTAGAAAATTCTTTGTTTTTGAGAAGAAATCCAGCACCACGGATGATATAAATTTCTACTTGGTATCCAGGGTTTAGGCCAGAATATGGAGATTTTCACATCCTCTCACAAGGGTGTTTGATTGGGTGAACATCTGTTGTGTGCCAGGCTCTGCAACAGTATTACCACATTGCATTCATACCATAACACTGAGAGGAAGAGATGATTGGCCTTATTTTAGAAATGAGGCCATAGATACTTAAGAGAGGCATTCAAATTATTTGTCCAAGGTCACATAGCTAGTAAACAATGGAAGGCCTGCCTTCCTCTCACTTGTTTGATTTCACTGACCTATACCAAAGAAAAATATCTCAATGGATGTTGGATTTGATGCTTCCTTTCTAATTTGTGTGTATGGTTTTCTTTTCTTTTTCTTTGGGTGGTGCTGGGACTTGAACCCAGGGATGCTTTACCACTGTGCCACACTTTTTTTTTGTTTTGTATTCTGAGACAGGGTCTCACTAAGCTGGTTGAGACTGGTTTGAACCTGTGAGCCTCCTGTTTCAGCCTCCTGAGCCACTGGGATTTTAGATGTGCACCACCCTGTGTGGCTAACCATATGGAACAATTCATCCTTGCACAGGGGACTTGCTACTATTCTCTCTATTGTTCTAATTTTAGTATGTGCACTGCTGAAGCTAGTTCTATTTTCTCTGTTGCCCAGGCTGGCCTGAACTTACAGACTGTACCTGCCAAGTCATTGGTACTGAGGTGTGCCACTCGGTTCAACCAGGCACATATTTTTAATTTTACAGAATTTTTGTCTAATGAGACTGAATGTATATTAAGGAAAAAAAATTGGGGGGGGGGTTGTATTTGTGTGCCAGACCCTATTCTAGGTGTTAGTGATATTATCAGTGAACATATATAGACATTGGGGTTATTATTATTTTTTTAATCAAACTCTGAGTTAAAACTCAAAGCTTCATATATACATATTTCATCATGTCCTTCATTCACTAGCAAGACATTGAAACACAGAACCCAAGATTAATTGCTGTCATTTTTCCATTGACTCACAGAATTACTGAACTAGCAGGGTACTTCTGAGGTTACTTAGCCAGCTCCCAAGGCTCTGGGGGAAATGCCAACCTAAACCATTCTATTATTAATAATTTTCGGGGGGGGGAGTGTTCCATTAAGCCTTTGCAGTAGCCACTGCTTGCTTTGGATGCCTGTAGCCTTTGTGATGATGATAAATTATTTCTGTCCTTAGAATTGGCTGGAGTATATGTCATTTTAAAACTGCATGCATGAAAAACATTTAAAAAATCTTTAATTCTATGCTTTTAAAGAAAATGCAAACCCAATGAGGTTAAGAAATGAGGAGCAAAGAGCTGAGGCAGGTTGTCACATACCTACTTGGTACTAATGTGGCCTGAATCCTGAGCACTGTGATGGTGATGCTTGATGATTTCCCCCAATTTTCTGTCCCAAACTGAAAGGTCATTTGACCCCAGTTTGCAGTGTATTTTATAGCTTCTGGGAACATCTTTTCTAATAGTTACCTTGTGCGTGACTGTATTTTCTTGCTTTCTTCCAGAAAGCTCTATGCTTCATATGGAATTGCATACTTGTTCACCTTTTGACCATTATGGTTAATAGAGCTTGACCTCTTGTTGATAGAATTATCAGTTGGGTGACTATAGAGTAGAATTTAGTTTTATTAAACCTTCCCTTGTGGGAATGTGACAACTCCAAAGCTTAATGAGTAGCCACCGATACTTTAGGTTTCAGATTCCATGACACATTTATTCCTTGAAAATATAGGGGAACATCAGGGATACTCTAGTTTCCCATCTTGAGAATGCCAGTGGGGGAGGAAACTTCTCCTAGAAGAATAACTTGTCAAAGCTGGATACAAATTTCCCATCTGAAGTGTTATTTATACCAGTTTCTCAGATAAAACCAGAAGTGTTCTCCATGCATATATCCTCATGTTCTTTCTTTGTTATTATGGCATTGAAACATAGCATCCTAGATTTAGTAGAAAGCTCCTGCTTTTTAGAGTATGTCATGCTGGTTGCTAGGACCCAGGGCTATCTGGGTCATGCTTGGCTTCAGTCTTCTCACAGTGGCTTCCTTATCTTGGTCCAACAAAGTACCTGTGGCTACAATCATTACTTCTTTCAATGCCCAGTTTTTTGTCTAGCTCCTTAGATTACTAATGTAATGTTCTCCTCCACTTGCCTATCTGGTTGTAGTTCAGATGTAGGACAAAATCACTTTCTAGGTTATGATAATAACCAAAAGATTGCATGGTCCCTGATTTCCCAAAGGTCAGCTTTCCCACTGGGATCACTATGACTATGGTGAACTACCGGCACATTGCCTTGCATATGGTAGCTGTCTAATAAATGCTTGTTTTTGTCTGTGGTGTAAAGTGAACTGTGCTGGGACCCTAGAACTTGGACCCAATCCCATTTTTGCTTCAACAAAGCATGTGCCTTAGGTCAGTCATTTCCTGTATGTGGACTATAGTTCCCTCAGCTGTGAAATAAGGACATGGGCAGAGAGATTTATGAGGTTGCTTTCAGCTTTATGAGTCTCAGTTTGTGACTGACTAAATGGGGGAAGAATTATGGCCAGTCAGTCAGATGCCACAACTTTGTTTCCAAATCCCAGCTGACTCCACAGAAGTGCCCTGCCTTGAGTTGGGAATGGCTGGCCAGTTGCTTTCCTGAGGATCCCATGCCAGAATCTCTAGTCATGTCCTTTGGGACATCTGAGGGCAGTGTTTTTCAAACTTATTTTGTAGCAATGGAATTCCCTTCAAAAGAATAAAGAATTCAAGCAGACTCAGATTTACATGTGAGTAGAAGTCATGTCAGCACTTAGCATTTGCCAGGATAGTGCTGCATATAAGATGGGGGAATCCTGAAAGTAGAATCTCAGAAGGTGGTTCAGAAGGTAATTGGAGTGGTGGAAGAGAGTAGAGAGAAATCTTTGGCCTTCCCCCTCCTCAATACCCCTACCTTAGGTTGTACCTCTAGCCTCACATTTTTCAACTCGTTTCACAGAACATTTCAAATCATGTGCCCTGACCAGATAATGGCAATTTTTTGATGCTGTGTTACCACACATGGCATCCTGTCATTGGAACTGGGAATTTGAAATTTACTTTCTCAGAATCTTCCATTGAACCTATGAAAAGTGTCCCTTGCCCAATGTTTTGCTGCTAAGAAAATTGGAAACCTCTAAGACATCTGAAATACCCCAGCTCAAAGGGTCTCTTCTTGAATCCAGGGATATCAAGTCAGAATCAAAGAGGAACTATTTATACCTCCAATTCCTGATAAAACTACAATCCACAACCCACCAAAACTCACCTAAGATGGAATTGATAACTGGAATAGTCCTGTTACCCTCAATAAAACTGGGTTCATAGTTAAAACCTCTTGAAAAAGGAAACTCTATACCTAGATGGTTCCACTGGTAAGTACTAACATTTAAGAAAGAGTCGTCCCTTAGTTTTTTATTGATGCCTGTAGGATTTGTAATGGTATTCCCCTTTTTATTCCTGCTATTAATAAATTGTATTTTTTGCCTTTTTAAACAGGCAGTTCTAAATTCATATAATGTATTCAGGGTGTGGTCCATCTTGATGATGTTTCATATATACTTTAAAAGCTTTCATATTCTGATTTTGTTGGTTATAATGTCTTATAAATGTTAGATTCCATTTGTTGATGGTGTTTTTCCCCCCTGGGGCTTACTAGTTGTTGATACTTTCAAAGGATCAGTGTTTGGTTTCATTGATTCTTCTTTTTCCCTACTGCTTTTTTCTATCTACAATTTCATTGCTCTCTGTTCTTTCTCATTCCCTTCTTTCTTCCTTTGAGTTTGTTTCATTCTTTGTTTTCCCATTCTTCAGGTGGAGGCTGGATCATTGATTGGAAATCTTTTGTTTCAAATATAAACACTTAGTGTTATCAATTTTCTCATAGGCATCATTTGTAGCTGTATTATGTGCATTTTGATATGGTGTATTTTTATTATGTTCAATTCAAAATATTTTTATTACTTGAGGCTTCTCTTTGACCCATAAATTATTTAGAAGTGTATTGTATAATTCCAGTTATTTGGACATTTTCTTTTTCTCTTTCTGTTGATATCTGGTTTAATTTCATCATGACCAGAGAACATCCTTTGTGTTATATTGATTCTTCTAAATTCACTTAATGTATTCAGGGTATGGTCCATCTTGATGTTTTTTTAAAAAAAATATTTAATTTTTTTAGTTGTAGTTGGACACAATTCCTTTATTTTATTTGTTTATTTTTATGTGTTTACATTTTACCACTAAGAATTTAACAATCTTATCACCATGTAGGTCCTTTTGACCTCCCTTTTTTACAATTATTTTTTGTGTTACTTCTGTATACACCAAAACCCTCATAAATACAATTTTTGCTTTCAGTTAAGAGCTCAAGAGAATAGTTGTGCTCTATATAATATTCAGTAATGATAGGCCACATACATGATGATGGTTGCATGAGATTATATTGCCTAGTAACATGGTAGCCATCCCAGTTTATGTAAGCATATTCTTCATGCTGTTTACACGATGATGAAATTGTCTTAGACACATTATGATATATGACTTGATAGATCTTTAAACCTAGATATATATCCTTTTTTTTTTTTTTTTTGGTTACTAAGGACTGGACCCAGAGACTCTTAACCACTGAGCCACATCCTCTGCCCTTTTTATATTTTATTCAGAACATGGCCTCACTAAGCTGCTGAGGCTGGTTTGAACTTGAGACCTCCTGCCTCAGCCTCCCTACTGGGATTACAGGCGTGTGCCACTGTATCTGGCAGATACCTAACATTTCTGTTTTTCTTTCTTTGTTCCCGATGTTCCTAGTTTTCTTGTAGTATCATTTCCCTTTTGTCTAAAAAGTTTTGTTTGGCCAATGAATTATTTTTCCTTCGTCTGAAGATATCTGTATTTCACCTTCATTTCTAAAGAATTTACAACATGACTATAGAATTCTGTATTACAGTTCTTTTCCTTCGACACTTTAGAAATGTGTGCTATTTCTTTTTGTACACAAAAATCTAAAGCTGTCTGAACTTTTGTGTCCCTAGAAGTAATGTGTCATTTTCTCTCACTGCTTTCAGGATTGTTTGCTTCATTTTTAGTTTGCAGCATGGCTTTCTTTGGGTTTATCCTAGATGAGGTTCATTCTGCTTTTCAAGTTTATAGGTTTATATAGCTTGTGAAATTTACAAAAAGTTTTCAACTGGTATTTCATCAAATAGTTTTCCTGAACCACACAACACTCCTCTCTTCTCTTCCAGGACACAAGTAGCAGACCTTCTATTATTGTCCCTAGGGTCTCTGAGGCTCTGCTTTGTTTTGTTTCAAACCTTTTTCTTTTTGTTACTCAGATTGGCTATTTTCTTTTTCTTTTAGTTGGACATAATACCTTAATTTTATTGTTTATTTTTATGTGGTGTTGAGGATTGAACCCAGGACCTTGCAGGTGCTAGGCAGGCACTCTGCCACTGAGCTACAACCACAGCCCCAGATTGGCTAATTTTTTGGGGCAGGTAGAAACCTCATATCTTCAAAGAGTTTTTTTTTTTTTTTTAAATTTTTGGTTATTTTGTTGTTCAGTTCTAAAATCTTCAGTAGT